TAGTCTTTGGATCCCGAGGCCAAGATCTGCTCGGTCGGGTGGAAGGCCAGACAGGTGACCTCATCCACGTGGTCATACAAAGTGCGGATCACGGGGTGGTTCTCCATGTTCTGTTGGGCGGTCTCGTTCATCATCACCTAGGAAGAGGTTGTAGAAAGCGTTGTGCTTAGTTGCTAATCTGCAGAGGCGACGGAGTCGCAGGAACTCTCCTGATCTATATAGCGGTTACCTCTATCGGCATGGCGCTCTTGGCCAACATCCGCTCCGTGTCCAGGATCTTGATCGAGGCGTCGGCAGAACCGGTGGCGATCAGCTGCCCATCCCGGCTGTACGTGGCCACTCGGCAGGGACCCTTATGGGAGGTGACGTAGCAGGTCTCGTATTCCGAGGCCTCCGGAGACATCGTCTGTACATCTGCATCGAACTCCAGGTCAATGCCGGTTCCGGGGGCCACCGTATCGGATCGGCCGATGGCGTACTGCACGGCGCTGTCATCGTTTTCCATACCTTAAAAAGGGACAAACACAGTTGGTCTCCATATATAAGCAGCAGCAGTGGCCGAGGACCTCTGCTTACTCACCCACTTTGATGAGGTGGAGGAGCTGCTCAGAGGGGGGACACACCACGTTCAGTTTGACCTCATTGATCAGCCCGTTGGCGATGTTGATGTGTCCATCGTAGAGGAGCTGGCTGATGATCAGCTTGTAGAGCTGGTGCCGATCTTTCAGCGTGATCTTGTATCTGTACATTGTGGCAAGAGAGGGTCTGCAATCTGCAAGGAGAAAAAAAAGACAAACCTAAATCTTAAAGCTGAACTCTGGAAACCACCAATGCAGCGCTGCCCCCATTTGTGTACAGGACTAATGTGCATTCTTCCTTATATCTTGGTGTGCAGCTTCCCCTGTGTGTGAGAATTTCCTATAATAAAGACTAGTCACTGCTGCTTCTCTACTTGTGCAAGGAGTCTGGTCTTGTCTCCACCCCCTCCTATACTTCTGAAACCTACATTGTTGATCTCCAGTGTCCCCCACAGCTCCCCCCAGCCAGTAGATCCTTTTTACCCTACTTTTTGTAATAGGGTGACAACGCTGTGTGTTCTGCAGTTGAATCGCACAGGGTTATCCCTCTATAGCTAGGTTTATTATGATCAGCAAATCAGAGCCCTGCTACCATGTTCCCACTACAAAAGCAAACGCTAAAATGCCACAATAAATCCTCAGCACCTTATCTGCAGAAAACCTCACCTCTATGTACAACGGGGATCAGTTGTGCAGTTGCAGATGGCGGTTTGAAGGTAGAATGAACGGGTGTGACGTCACTAGAACGCGGCGAACAACAACAAAAATGCGCCGCATGTCTATCTTTACCAACAACGCACGCGCGTTCTACGCCCCACCCCTCCGCTGTTTCTTGTCAAAACTGCGCACGCGCGTTCTCTCCTCCCCTCCGGCCCGGCGCCCTGACGTCGGACGCAGTGGGCGGGCGCTCAACGGTTTTGCTCCCTGTACCCAATGGGAGCCGAGCAGCTCGCTCGTGTCAGCCAATCAGAACGCGAAACGATTTAAAGCGCTTTATAAGCGGGCGGTTTGAACTGGCGCAGAAGTCGGGCGGTCAGTGAGTGGCGTGAAGACGGTTTTGCAGCCGGATTGAGGCTTGTAGCGGGTAGCCATAGCGACTGTGGTGCGGGGCTAGGCCTAAAACCCTTCTGCTTAGTAAGTGTAGGTTCCCGGTAGTTGTTGTGGGCGAATAGGCTAATTAGATGGCTGGCGGAAGTTTGGATTGTGGTATGGAAGAGGGGCTAGTGGGGCTTCAATATAAAATACTGATGGGTGACCCCCAAGAGCTAGCAATCACTTTATAGGATGTACTTTGGAGGGGGATGGTGTATGTGTGTTGAAGGTCAGAGGGACCCCAATAAAGTGGGGGGACAGTTTGTTTGGGTCTAATGTGTAGATATGGATAAATGTTTGTATGCTGAGTTTTTGGGTTAGTGGGACCCCAATATAGATCGGCACAAAGCTTGTGAACCCCAAGAGCTAGCACTCCTCATCCATGTAATGTGACCATGTGTATAAGATGGGAGACAATGCTGGCACTATGTAAGCTGCCCAGGGATGATATGGACCCTAATATAATGTAGCAGGGGGACCCCAAGAGCTAGTAGTCACCTCATCTGGGTAATGTGCTATATACATAGAATATGGTGGTGCTGGGGATGTATAAGCAGTGCATGCACCCCAATACCAGGCAGCAGTAGATCTGTGACTCAAGAGCTGCCAATTGTATTTGTGTATTATGCCAATGTACATAATATATGGGGCAGTGCTTGAGATATGCTGGTGAGGGGTCAGAGGAACCCCAATATACAGGTGGAGGGGGTGAAGAGCTACCAATATCTTTTCTGTAATGTGCACATATGCTAAGATGGTGTGACAGTGTTGGAGGTATGTAGGCAGCATGGTAGGTATGTGGGGTGACAATGCTGCAGGTGTGTAAGCAGCCTGGGATGTGGGGAGACAATGCTGCAGGTGTGTAAGCAGCCTGGGATGTGGGGAGACAATGCTGCAGGTGTAAGCAGCCTGGGATGTGGGGAGACAATGCTGCAGGTGTAAGCAGCCTGGGATGTGGGGAGACAATGCTGCAGGTATGAAGGGCAGCTCGGGAGTTGTGTTGGTCAGCCTGGGATGTATGTGGGGAGACTATGCTGGAGGTATGTAGGCAGCCCGGGAGGTGTCTGGGGAGACGATGCTGGAGGTATGTAGGCAGCCCGGGAGGTGTCTGGGGAGACGATGCTGGAGGTATGTAGGCAGCCCGGGAGGTGTGTGGGGTGACGATGCTGCTGGGATGTATGTGGGGAGACGATGCTGGAGGTGTGTAGGCAGCCCAGGAGGTGTGTGGGGAGACAATGCTGGAGGTGTGTGGGGAGACTATGCTGGAGGTATGTAAGCAGCCTGGGGTTTAGATAGATATTGAACAGCAGGGGGAGCCGCTGGGCGATTTGTGAACCCCAAAAGTATATTGTTTTGCTGTCCCCTATTGTCTGTGCACCCAGCGTTGTTATGCACACATCTTACAAACACCATACTGGCTTTTAAATGATGACTTAGGAAATTATTCTTATCTGGAGAAGTCACATTTGGCTGTACACTATTCCAATTTTGTCTGATTCCCATGGAACTGATTGACACTTGAGCACACAGCTATTCTAAAATCAAAGGGTTTAAGTGGTTAATGATTGACCTGTAACTGCATCCAATCAGCGACCGTCACTGTTCAGGTATTCAGACAGCCGCAGGAGCCGATGGATACAACACCTGGCAGGGTGGAGTATTTGGTATGGTCGGGGAGAATTGTGTTTTTGTTTTTTTCCTCTCGTCTAGCCTGTGGGGTTTAATGAGCGAATCTAGGGGTGTGTGTGTGTGGTCAGGTGTACAGTGTACACTGCTGTATGTATTGGGAGGGGGATACAATTGGGGGGGTTTATGAAAATTGAGCAGTTGCCCATAATAGATATTCAGGTTCTGTCTCAGTTAAGCTTTCACAATGGAGGAAGCGGATTGGTTGTCATGCACAGCTCCTCTGGTTTTGATAATTTCACCTTAACGAGTCTTGGCTGAGATGATTGATTGCTCTGACTCACCTGTGCTGCCATCTAATAGTCTATCTTGTCACTCTAAGAACATTGATTCAAGTCCAAAGGATTTTAAAGTGACACTTACCTCAGGAGTTGCACCTTAGAAAGCATTCAGGCTAGGTTCTCACCTGTGTGATTTGTGACCGCATGGAGATCGTGTGCAGATTGCCGAGCGGTCACGGAGTGCATGATTTTCTAATGGCGCCGCAGTTGCACCGGGCGGATCGTGTGCTTTCCTGCTGCCATCAGCCCGTGCAATAGAACACGATCATGTCTAAATAAAGCAGTCTGTCGCAAAGAAAGGAAAGTCTGTCGCTGATGGCCATGCAGATGTAACCCCGTTTAAATCAATGGGGCCGCACGGCAACCGCTGTGTGCACACGATTGCCTGGGACGCACTCTCAGATCTGAAGCTAGCCTAAAGTACCTTAACTATTAACAATGAGGGGAATTTATTGGCGGACGGCAAGAGGTTAAGATTTGAAAATGAGAGAAGCTGATTGGTTGCCGTGCAAAGCAGTTTTGATAAATTCCCTTCAATGTATCTAATTTGTGTATCACTCGGCGGTAGGTCCTCCAATCATCTCTGAATTGGTGTTGACACTGTCCTTCTGCAGGGCGGCTACGTCTCTTCCCCATGGTCCCTGTGTGTGTTGTAAAGTAGTCACCGCTCCAAGCTCGCTCCCGGGATGGACTACAATCTCAGGTTTAGTTTACTGATTTGTGTTGAGATTGTAGTCCATCCCTGGAGTGAGCTTGGAGCGGTGACTACTTTACAACACACACAGGGACCATGGGGAACACAAGTAGCCCCCTGCAGAAGGAAGGACAGTGTCGGCACCAATTCAGAGCTGATTGGAGGCTCTACAGCCGAGTGATACACAAATAATTGATACGAAATCACCTACACCCCATACAGCGTACAGAGATTGGATGAAGGTTGGTGCTTGAAGTGACAACACCGATGGTGCCCAGAAGAAGGGACCCTGCTTAACCCCAAAATGTTGGCTATTTGACAATTTAATAAGTGCTTTACTACTTGCACACATCGAGTGCTGGTGTCTTCTATTATGGACTGATACACAAATAAGACACATTAATAGTTGAGGTTCTTGAATGAAGATGTAACTCCTTTAGTGTATCCGTTACCTTGTACAGCTGCTCCAGTCTTGATAAAAAAAACCCTCAACGAGTCATGGGTGAGCTGTTTGCTCTCTCACCTGTGCCGCTGCCGAATAGTGTGTAAAAGAGGATTTATAATCGGCTGCTGATGACCAGAGTTGGGCTCACTCTTATCTAATGTTTAATGTTGGGTCTTTATGTTTTTGTTTTTTAGGACAGTATGGAGCCCTGTACAGCAAAGAAGAATCTTCCACTTGTGTCTGGCCCTAATGTGAAGGTAAAGTCGGCTATTATCCTGACACTTTAGTACAGGGGTAGCCAACCAGTGGTCCTCCAGCTGTGGGGGAACTACAAATCCCATGAGGCATTGCAACATTCTCGCAGACATTCCGTGTGCACCTTGCTGTAAAGCTGGTGACTAATTGATGAGTGCGTTTGTCATTTGTTTTGCTTGACTGATTTGGTGCAGTGACGCATGGGGGGGGGGGGGTG